GACAAGACCAAGTTGCGACAACGAGGTCAACCCACTTCTAGAAAGAGTTACTTTTGAGGAAAATTCTGGTTTACATTTGTTCAGTTCATCTTCGTTCGTGGTGAAGAACTTAAATGGCCAAGTTTACCAGAAGAGGACGGCGGATTCTCCTTCAGTTCAAGTAAAGGCAGGTGAAAACTGGGTTTAGACGAATCCCTTAATTATATAATACTACTCGACCTTTTGTGAGATGCCACATTAAGATACCAAAATGATGTATACTAGGAGAGTATTTTGGTTCATTTTTCCCAAATAATGCTTTCTGGGCCTGATGGTCTCTGTCACAATACGACAGGCTGAATCTGGAGTCACGGGACAGTAAGACACACTCCAACCGTCGTGTGTCAGAAACAATTCTCCTTCGGTTTCCGGTGAGGCCAATTCACGAATTCATTCCTAACAGCTTTACCTTCGAAATGGAGAGTCATGTCACAATATATCACTAATGGATTCTTCGAAACCCAGATTTTATTCATATCTTTGTACGCCTTTTGTTTGTCTTATCGCTGGATACAAATAATTTAGACCCGTAAGTAAAGTAGTCCTTTGGCATGTTCTTATAGGCTCTGTATATACTCTAAATCTAATAATTCTTTGAATATAATCATAAGACTGGCAACACGGCTCCGTCAATTGGCAAGAAAGAAGAAGTCTGATCACGTGACTCGACTTTTCATTTAAACAAAAAGTTGGGTTCCGAGGTATCATCTGGTTTATATTTGTTGATTTTACCTCAATTTCGAGTCAAAGCGTATGATAATCAAGTGTCTACTAAGTCTTCGTCCATCGTTTGATGCATGAAAGCTTAGCCTTTTTTAATCGGAACAAAAAGAGATTGCTTCGAGGGCAGTGCCAACATCAATGTTCCACTAAGACCAACCACCAAGTGGCCAAAAGGAAACCGCTTTCAAATCTCTTCTTCACACCTTTTCACTCAAACTGGAATTGAGCCAAACAATGTTGAGTCAATAGATTCCTTGAAAACTAACTTTTCTTTGAAATTAAAAGTCGAGTCACGTGATCAGGCTCCTTCATTCATGCCAATTGACGCAGCCAGGATGCAAGTCTTATGATAAAATTAAAAGAATGATGAGATTGAGAGTATAAAAAATATACCAAAGAGCTTCTTGACTTGTTAGTCGAAATTATTTGCAGGAACCGAAGGTGATTATCTGGATGACAACG